AGGTTATTAGAGTAGGAGGAGGACCAAACAAGTACTGAATGTTTAATATGAAATTATACACGATTACAAACGCTACTTATAATGATTTGATGTTATATTTGTCATTATATATATTTTGGTAAGGTTTTGTTATGATAGGTGAAACGCTAAATTACACATCTTTCTACAGGCGTCTGATAAAATTGTTTGCTGTTCTAAGAAATCGTTCATGATGACCATAGAACCTGTCTCATTATACAACTTATATATGTAGATGTTTAATATAACATGCATTTCCCAGTTTGATAGCGCTATATGTATTTGCATTCTATCTAAGTGATAATGATCATATTTGTTACAAAATATGAAACATTTTGGCCAAGACTGTTCAATGTTAGATAAGTTTCCGGTTTTTAGGAGACTAAATATAATGTGTAAAGTAGGCTAGGATATTTCAGTGTTATTTTAATATCCATGTTTTTAGAAAACTAAATATAACTTGTATGTTAAAGTAGGATAGGATTATGTAACGTTAATTTAATCTCCAGTATTCCAGATGGTTTATTTGTGTTGACATACAGAGTTTCTTTATTTATTACCCAGAATGCGAGACTTGGACAGCATGATACAAACAGGTCTCTACATCAATGACCTCAGTATGCATGACTTCAGCAGAGACATGGTTCTCGCTGGACAACAACAGTCTGCGGAACTCAAGTTAGCCTTGGATCAGGTAAAACTCATGGATGAATTTACTATGAAGCATCTAAGTTAAAAGAATTAAAGGTGAACGTGGCTTAGTTAATATTTGTATAGTTTTCAAGTTACAGAACTGAGTTTAGAATCAGATGAGAAACATGCTGTAGTACAGGGTGTCCCAGGGTGTTTATTTTATTTTCATGATTATTACAAAAAAGTAAACTTTTTAGTTGAAACTGATAAGGGACAGTTAGTGTAGTCTTTGAAGTTTTGTTTAGAACTCAGTATGTCCACCTTCTCTTTCAACAATCTCCTGAAGACGTTCAACCAAATTATCCAACACTTAACACGGATATACCCTGAACAACATCAGTGATGCAATCTCATCCAAGGACTGTCCTTGATGAAACCACACTAAAAAAGGTAAAGGGAGTGATGTCGAGGGATCTTGAAGACCAAATAATGTGACCACCTCGACCGATCCATTTGTTGGGGAATATGTTATTAAGGAAATCACGAGAAAATGTGGAGAAACACCATGTTGCTGCAGATTAACTGAATGCATCGTATGACTTCTGCTTAGATGAGGTACCAAAAATGTTTTTAAACATGTTTAGGTACGTTTCTGCATTGACATTTTTTCCATCGAAGAAAAATGGTCCAATGATGTAAGACAACACGTGTCAGGACAACACGTGTTCACTTCTGATAAGTCTCGGATGTGTTGGCGACTCGGTTGTGGCTTCTCTGTTCTCCAACTTATGGAGTTATATTTTTTAACTCTGCTGCATAATTGGAAAGTTGCCTCTTCTGAAAATGCAAGTTTATGCAACGGATATTCCCGTAGCTTCTTCAGCATAAGATGACAAAAATAATTTCTTGCTTGCTAATTTGTGGTTTTTAATTGATGTAGCACTTGAACATGATGAGCATTAAATTTAACATTATTTTTAATGATGTTATGTACGGTTTTTTGTCATTCCCAGTTCCAAGGAATTTTTCGTTTGGACCATTAGTAATAGCTTCATTAACTCAATTAACAGACGCACATTATTTCTTGGACTGTTAGTTATAGCTTCATTAACTCGATCAACAGACGCACATTATTTCTTGGACTGTTGGTTATAGCTTCATTAACTCGATCAACAGACGCACATTATTTCTTGGACTGCTGGTTATAGCTTCATTAACTCGATCAACAGACGCACATTATTTCTTGGACTGCTGGTTATAGCTTCATTAACTCGATCAACAGACGCACATTATTTCTTGGACTGTTGGTTATAGCTTCATTAACTCGATCAACAGACGCACATGTTTCTTGAACCGTTAGTAATAGCTTCATTCACTCGAACAATATCTTTTCTTGTTTGAACAGTCCGCTTTCTTACCGGTATTGATGTTGTTGTCACTGTTCTTTTTTAAATAAACGTCTCGTGAAATTGTTTAATGGTTTTTCGCGTTGGAGGATGCCTCTGAAAATATTGTTGGTGTTCCCTTTGCACAACCACAGCACTTTCATACATTTACAACTTTATTGCTATTTTTACCTTACCTCCAAGCTCAGGTACCCTGTCATTGTTCACTCTGAAACAAAAAATTAAAAACTGTAATAAACAAAACTACACAAACAGTCCCATATCAGTTTGAACTGGCAATTTGTACATTCTTATAATAATCGGGAAAATAATACGTACACCTCCGAGTGGGGCACCCTGTATATACAATGGATTGAGCACTTTCTATTATAACGATTTTGAATACACAAATCAGCAAGTTTCGTAAAAACCGTAGGAATGTTATGAAATCGCAATAAAACAGAATGTATCAGAGTTACATTTTGACACTGTTTGATGTTTCTTAGGTAATGTAACGTCACCGAAACCGATCTATTTTGAGAAGGATACGTAATAGCCCTTTCCGACTCAAAATATTCATACATTCAGATCATAAACAAGTGTTCAGATCGGGTAATTCAGAATTTTCATAATGGGAATATCCATTGAACTCAGTGGTATTGGAAAACAAAGAAATATGGATTAAGTTGGTGCATCAAGACCATCAAAAAAAGAGACCTGTAGTAAATTGCACTCCAAACGTGGTAAACAAAGTGCGAACACAAAGGTCAGTGAATTAAATAGTCCAATACGTAATATAATCAAGAAAGATCTCCCTTTGGAAAAGGGACTAAGGCACGTATACACAAGCTGCTTCCATGATATATCAATTCAACCTTCCAATACCTCAAGCAGCGGTGATTGATAAGGCTGGAACATCTATGTTTTTTTTGTGTGTTTTTTTTTGTGCGATCAGATTTTTGAAATGGGCGCTTGAAAACCGTCGTTCTCATACAGTAAATCGATTAAGGAAAGCTTGTAGGGGGAGGAGTGTGTTTGAACATGATAACCATACGACAGAGCCTTTTGCGATGCGAACTAACCAGCAGGCCTATTGTAGAGATGCACATTTGTCAGTTACAGTACAACCAGATGTCGCGACATGGCGTGGTGAGGCTCCGAAATCGTTTGCCAGCTTTAAAAGGGGACGTGGGCGGCCCTACTTTATTATTCTGAAACTCAGGAGTTCGCCTGATGCAAAGCACCTATACTACGCAAAGAATTAAAGGTCATTTTCATTTAGTGTCTGTTTCATATAACTTGCTACCGACTTTCTCATTCAACTGAGGCAGCATTAAAGCAGAAAACATGAAATTTCTGTCGAATTCGAACTGATCGTCCAATTTAAACTTGATTTTTGGGGATTCTCTATGGTTTCTCTATTAAATTTCATCAAAATTGATTCAGCCAGTTTCTCATAAGAACTTGTGACACTAATCATACAGACCTACACTCATCTCTGCCCTCTATATATAGATGTTTCATTCGAACGCTACAAACATACACACATAGAGTTATATATATATACAGACATACACTCATCTCTGCCCTCTATATATAGATGTTTCATTCGAACGCTACAAACATACACACATAGAGTTATATATATATACAGACATACACTCATCTCTGCCCTCTATATATAGATGTTTCATTCGAACGCTACAAACATACACACATAGAGTTATATATATATATAAGAACAGTCTTATCCCAGTACTCATCATTAGTTTTACATATATTTTAGTTTAGTGGTAGTTTGATATTTTCTAGCATAACTTATAGTTTCGGTGGAATATCACTTTATAAGCTCTAAAATAATTCGTTTAAGTTGCAAAATAGTGGAGAAAACTTGATATAAGTTGAACATTTTAGCTGACCTTTGTATTCTGTATTCTCTCAAATAACAGACTTTGGGTTACGTATTAGTAATTAGTGGTATTAATCATAATATTGGAGTTTTTATATGTGTAACCCATGTATTATTAGGGACCCACAAGCAATATGATGTTTAAATAATTAAACAAACGTGTTAAGAGTTCAGTAATTCTAAGCCTAATGAATTGTTCGTCTTACACATCAAAGCATAAGGAAATAATTAAAATCAAATCAGATGTTCAATAAAGAAAACAAAAATTTTTATAAGTACGATTTTAACTTGTAACGTATATAGTTACAAACGAGCTAAGCTATTTATACGGACTGAAAAAGCGAAATGAATTTTTTTTTAAAAACTAAATCTGTAAAAACTGCTTTAGAAGCAAGTCACGATCCAATAATAGTTTATATTCAATAGCTTGTTTGTAAGCTTTGAGCTATTTTGAAAACGATTAATATTTGTTCAGTTAGAAACATAAGTTCAGGTTCAGTTATAGACAAGAGTTTACCGATATATTTAGTACTGTCTAGCTGTAAATAGAAACTATCTGTGTGAGGTTAAGGCATTTAACTGAATTCGTGTCTTTACGAACAGGAGTTACAGAAAAGTAATCAGCTGGAAGAGTCCATGAAAAAATTGGATATAGAAATGAAAAGAACAGACGAGTTGTTGTACCAGATGATTCCCAAACAAGTTGCTGATAGGTTAAGAAAAGGAGAAGCTGCCGTCGATACTTGTCAGGTACCTGGCACGGTTCATTAAGCCTAACATTTCCAGGTGTATAACTTACAATGGTCTATTTACAGCTCAAACTGCGGATATAAACTACTTGTGTTTGTTAATACTTTCACGTGCGGATATTTAGAATTGCACTTGAAACCCATTAGCTGTTTTAATGTATTTCAAAGAAATAAAACTATGAGAAATAAACACGCTCTGTTTTTATTGATAATAGATTCATATAAGAATGAACATATCAACTATTTCAAGAATTAAACAGTATATATCATCTTACGTAAAATCTTATCATAAGCCTACTAATAAGCTGAAGACGTACAGAAGGTGTGTTGAAAAACATTGTTAACATAATTATGTGCTTAAGTTAAATATTAATTAGTAGATTTATCAATTTCGTCATGTAGTTCTCAAAGCTTGAGGATTATTTGAATATGCGCTAGCTTGCAGGTCGAAGTCGAAAACTAAGCAAACAGTTATAGTTTAAGAAGAAACATAATGTCTTTTATGCTTTATTTTGTTAACAAGTAGAAAGTGCAGTTTCATTATTGCAGGATAGTGTTATACTACAGCACAGTAACAATACTACAAGAAAGTTACTGTAGCACAGTAACAGTATTACAACAAAGTTACTAAAAGTGTAGTTTGATTATTGCAGGGTAATGTTACACTGTAGCACAGTAATAGCATAACAACAAAGTTATTAAAAGTGTAGTTTGACACTGCCTGTAGCACAGTAACATTACAACAAAGTTACTACATCACAGTTCCTAGGCAACAACAAAGTTACTACATATCAGTTCTTAAAACAAATTTAACACACCATAGCTCCTACACTACAACAAAGTCACTACATCGTAGTTTCAACACTACAAAAAACTACCACAAATCAGTTCCGACATTACAACGAAGCTACTATACAAAAATCCCTACACTTTAACAAAGTTACCACAGTCCAGTACCTAAAGTAATACAAAATTACTACCTCACAGCTACCACACAACGGTTCAGTTTTTACACTTTAGTCACTGGTTAAGTTGATAACAGACTATTTAATGCATGAATCTATGATTTACTATAACCATTTAATAAAACATAAAATTAACAGATTTAAATAGTTCAGTTCCTACTTCAACTCACTACGGTGCAGATACTGCGTTACAGTAGAGTCGCTACACTACAGCACAGTTTCTATTTTATAGCACTTCAACTCACTACGGTGCAGATACTGCGTTACAATCGAGTCGTCACACTACTGATGATTGGCTGACTTCCCTTTTGTCAGTAGTTAAAAAAAATAGAGACAGCGGTAGATAACCCTAGTATCTTTGTTATAAATAGAAGACAAATTGAAATAGTTCCCCAAATACGTAAATACCGGCAACTTTTCCAAACCACTTTAACTCACTACATTACAGTTCCTACTTTACAACACTTTAGACACTACATTACAGTTCTTACTTTACAACACTTTAACTCATAACATTACAGTTCCTACTTCACAACACTATAAACACTACGTTACAGTTCTTACTTTACAACACTTTAAACACTACACTACAGTTCCTACTTTACAACACTTTAAACACTACATTACAGTTCCTACTTTACGACACTTTAAACACTACACTACAGTTCCTACTTTACAAAACTTTAACTCACTATATTACAGTTCCTACTTCCCAACACCTTAAACACTACATTACAGTTCCTACTTTACAACACCTTAAACCCTATACTAAAGTTCCTACTTTACAGCACTTTAAACACTACACTAAAGTTCCTATATTACAACACTTTAAACACTACATTACAGTTCCTACTTTACGACACTTTAAATACTACACTACAGTTCCTACTTTACAACACTTTAACTCACTATATTACAGTTCCTAATTCACAACACCTTAAACACTACATTACAGTTCCTACTTTACAACACTTTAAACCCTATACTAAAGTTCATACTTTACAACACTTTAAACACTACATTACAGTTTCTACTTCACAACATTTTAACTCACTACATTACAGTTCCTACTTTACAACACTTTAAACATTACGCTACAGTTCCTACTTTACAACACTTTAAACACTACATTACAGTTCCTACTTTACAACACTTTAACTCACTACACTCCAGTTCCTACTTTACAACACTTTAACTCACTATATTACAGTTCCTACTTCACAATACCTTAAACACTACATTACAGTTCCTACTTTACAACACTTGAACTCACTAAGGTGCAGAAGCTGCGTTGCAGCGCATTTGCCACACTACGGGTTTGTTCGTAGTAAGCGAAAAGCTACACAATGGGCTATCTGTGCTCTGCCCACCACGGGTATCGAAACCCGATTTCTAGCGTTGTAATTCCGCAGACATACCACTGTGCCACTGGGGGGGGGCGCAATACGGTACAGTTCGTACTTTAGAGCTACAGTATAGATACTGCATTACAACAAAATCGGAGCATTATAAGGCAATAATAATATTACTCACAGATGCTACATTATTGTCCAGTTACTACATTACACGAAAGCACATTCTAGCAATAACCTTACATTACATAATATCTATTATTCTCTGATACAGTTACTACTGGCTATAAACTTGTAAAATAAAAATGTATTATTATATTTGCACTTCTTCTTGAAAATATTCAACTTTCATTTTCTTATTTCGAATAGGATTTTGATTGTGTAACGATCCTGTTTAGTGACGTGGTTACCTTTACGGAGATTTGTAGCCGGATCACTCCAATGGAAGTTGTATCGATGTTAAACTCCATGTACAGTATGTTCGACCAGCTGACGGAGAAACACAAAGTTTACAAGGTCATTTTAGTTATCATGTTATATGTCAAGGTCATTTTAGTTATCATGTTATATATCAAGGTCATTTTAGTTATCACATTATATGTAAAGGTCATTTTAGTTATCACGTTATATGTCAAGGTCATTTTAGTTATCATGTTATATATCAAGGTCATTTTAGTTATCACATTATATGTAAAGGTCATTTTAGTTATCACGTTATATGATAAGATCATTTTAGTTATCACGTTATATGTGAAGTTCATTTTAGTTATCATGTTATATATCAAGGTCATTTTAGTTATCACATTATATGTAAAGGTCATTTTAGTTATCACGTTATATGATAAGATCATTTTAGTTATCACGTTATATGTGAAGTTCATTTTAGTTATCACATTATATATCAAGGTCGTTTTAGTTATCACATTATATATCAAGTTCATTTTAGTTATCACATTATATGACAAAATCATTTTAGTTATAATGTTATATGTCAAGGTCATTTTAGTTATCACATTAAATGTCAAGGTCATTTTAGTTATCACATTAAATGTCAAGGTCACTTTAGTTATCACATTATATGTCAAGTTCATTTTAGTTATCACATTATATGTTAAGTTCATTTTAGTTATCACATTATATGTCAAGTTCATTTTAGTTATCACATTATATGTCAAGTTCATTTTAGTTGTCACATTATATGTCAAGATCATTTTAGTTATTACATTATATGTCAAGTTCATTTTAGTTATCACATTATATGTCAAGTTTATTTTAGTTGTCACATTATATGACAAAATCATTTTAGTTATCACGTTATATGTGAAGGTCATTTTAGTTATCACATTATATATCAATGTCGTTTTAGTTATCACATTATATGTCATGATCATTTTAATTATCACATTATATGACAAGTTGATTTTAGTTACCACATTATATGTCAAGTTCATTTTAGTTATCACGTTATATGTCAAGGTCATTTTAGTTATCACGTTATATATCAAGGTCATTTTAGTTATCACATTATATGTCAAGATGATTTTAATTATCACGTTATATGTAAAGGTCACTTTAGTTTTCATATTATATGTCAAGATGATTTTAATTATCACGTTATATGTAAAGGTCACTTTAGTTTTCATATTATATGTCAAGATCGTTTTTAGTTATCACATTATATGTCAAGATCATTTTAGCGTTCACATTATAGTGTACGGCCATTCCCACTGCTCGCAGTTCAAAACTACTGACGTTCACTGATTACCTATTAACTTTTCTATGCGCAAACAAACCTTGAAATTGTACTTATTTTAACCTGGTCATTTATTTATCTTTAATTTTAGAAGTATATATATATATACGTATTCTTGGTGTCGTAGAGCTTATAATTTAGTTTTCAATACAATATTTTGTAATAAGTAAGTTTATTTTTAAGGATTGAGAGGTATTGACGTAAGATATTATATTGTTACCATCTCTTCTTTTTTTTTCATTTATATTCATTCTTATGGTTTTAACAACTCGGTCATCTTCTTTTGATATTTTTTGAATGTTTATAATCACTTATGGTCATATTAAAATATTTGTAGATATGATATTATAATCCGTGTCTTTACTCCTATGGTTGGTTACCAGTGTTTGTCGTAGGGCACGTCATTATATGTATTGATTTATTCTTTCTATTTAATCGGTTTCTAGCGTCAGTACGTTCCAATTAATGAAAGTTAAAAATATTTGTTCTACATTAATTATTCGTAACGTCCACTGCATCTTATCTCCATTTACAAAATTGGTTTAAAAAAAGATTATATTTTACCCAATGTATATCTTTCCATTTCTAGAAAATTGGTAAAAAAGGTTATACTTTACCTAGTGTCTATCTTCTCTGTTTCTAAAAAACTGATAAAAAGATTATATTTTACCCAGTTTTTATCTTCTCCGTTTCTAAAAGATTGGTAAAATGGTTATATTTCACCCATTGTCTATCTTCTCCGTTTCTAAAAAACTGATAAAAAGATTATATTTTACCCAGTTTTTATCTTCTCCGTTTCTAAAAGATTGGTAAAATGGTTATATTTCACCCATCGTATATCTTCTCCGTTTCTAGAAAATTGATAAAAAGATTATATTTTACCCAGTTTTTATCTTCTCCGTTTCTAAAAGATTGGTAAAATGGTTATATTTCACCCATTGTCTATCTTCTTCATTTCTAAAAAACTGATAAAAAGATTATATTTTACCCAGTGTTTATCTTCTCCGTTCCTAAAAGATTGGTAAAATGGTTATATTTCACCCATTGTCTATCTTCTCAGTTTCTAGAAAATTGATAAAAAGATTATATTTTACCCAGTGTTTATCTTCTCCGTTCCTAAAAGATTGGTAAAATGGTTATATTTTCTAGAAACGGAGAAGATAAAAACTGGGTAAAATATAATCACCTGGTCTAAAGGTTTCCTCAACGAACGCCAAGCTCCATCTTATTATTATTGTTCAGAAACCGTCTGAATAAGATAATAAACAAATTTATTATACAATCGTAGATGTCTTCAAAATTTAAAAATACGTAAATATAGTTGATTGAGTTGTTGGAAAAGTTAGAATAAAACCACATATAATTGCTACTATATATCTGTCTAGCTATTTGTAATAAAATATTGGCCTTACTGTAATCTGTGGTGCGTGTATAAAGCGATGACGTCAGTAGTCTTGAGCTCAACATCCAGGTTGTTACATATAACACATTCAGCTAACTAATCCAAAATTTAATGATCCAATAGACTACATGTGCAAAATAAATCCTAAACTTCTACTTTAGAAATGACAAAATGAAGAACGAAATTTAAGTTTGTAAGGGTTTTTAGCAAATAGATAATCTGACTTTGGAATTGTTCTGAAAGTTAATTATTGTTAAATTATAGGGACTCTATATCATTTGAAATTTCCTATGAACGTTATTAATGGGTTGCTATAATAAGTTTTGCGTCTAAAGTTTGATTTTTTTTATGAATTCTCTATGTATCGTAGGTGGAAACTATTGGTGATGCGTACATGGTTGTATCCGGTGCACCAGACTTGGATAAAAAACATGCTGAAAACATTTGTGACATGGCTTTAGACATGGTGAATGTTATTGGAGGTTTAAAGGACCCATCAACGGGCCAAAGTCTTCGCATCCGTGTTGGTAAGTGGTTTTCGTAAGTGAATTAAATACTAATTTTGTCATAATCGATTAGTTATATTCTTCCTAAGCCATTTTATATTATCTTATGGCTAGTTTAGTCATATCTCAGATATTTATAAAATGGATAATTTTGGATTATGATGAAATCTAGGCCTAATTTTTAGCTCTTATTTGTAAGCTCACTGTAAGCAAGAAAAGCAAAGAAATATTGAAAAATACATAAAAAATAGCGACAAATAAATTTATATTTCTTCTTAGAAAAGATATTTCATACGATTTCTACCAAAAATATTAACTAGTTTGTATTGCAAAGCACAAAAATTGTTTCCCAATTCAATTCCAAACTTAATTCAATAATCAATTTTGAAGTTTTAAAATATTATCTAACTTACCACTTTAAAACAAGAAATAAAAGTCTTTAATTACCAACAGTTTTCTTAAGTGTTCTGCTAATGTCGTATTTATTTATATAAATCAACAAACCTATCAATATAGTGCAACTTATGTGAACACAATTGGTCAAATACAAAAGTAAATTCGTTTTTACGAAAACCTCTTCATTAAAAAAATAATATTTGAAGTTAAAGAATTCTTCTAGCAGAAACTGTGGTAGTCACCTACTTGTCCTCTTCAACTGCACTCCGGAGAGCTCAATGGTAAATTCGAAGGCTTATAACACTAAAAATCTGGGTTCGATCGCTGCTACGGGAACGGAGAAGAGAGTTTGTTTGTTTGTTTGTAATTAAGCACAAAGCTACACAATGGGCTATCTGTGCTCTGCCCACCACGGGTATCGAAACATAACGCTGTGCCACTGGGGGGCGGAGAAGAGAGTCTATGCGTTTAAGAACTAAACAAACAAATAAACGCATATACATTATTTATACAATACTAAAACGTCAAACTGAGGCTTAATGTCCATCTCCTGATGTTTGAAACAAACACCACTGACCATCTTTTGTTGTTTGAAATACGCACATCATTGATCTTCTGTATAGCTACATGTAAAACTTAATTATCTAAAAATTATAAAGCTACTTTGTTAAACCATTACTGTTAACTTCTCTTCTATGAACAAATAACTGAGAATCGAAAGTAAATTTCGTGTTTATTTGCCTTCTTCTATAGGTGTCCATTCCGGAATGGTGGTCGCAGGAGTTGTTGGTCTCAAAATGCCGCGTTATTGTCTATTTGGAGATACCGTTAATACAGCATCTCGGATGGAAAGTACCAGTGAGGTAAATGTTTAAAGTTTATCAGTTCTTTACTCCATATTCACTTTCCAATTGCTCGTAAGAATTAGCTCACTTTTTTCCTTGTAGACTTCCCCAAGTTCAGCACTGATTGCTACAACCTTAAGCCCGCCCTATACAGCCCGATTCAAGCTAACTCGACTCATCTCATCTGAGTTCGCATAGAATCCACGATTAGTTTTCCTCAGTTTGGTCAGCCATCTCAACTGACTTTCTCTCGGCTAGGTGTCGCACACCGCCATGACCACCACTGGATCCTGGGGATTACTATGTACACTGAATTAATTAACCCTACCCTCTATACATTTTTATTAACTTTCCCTAACATGGAGACTTGCGATGATCATATTACGATCTTCACATTACGTATGACATCGTATATGTTGATTCGACAGCGTTATTTTTTTAACTTCGCTTCAGCTTGCTGGCGCTTTGATCAAACAAAAACAATTGAGCTCACAGGGATGTGATCCCGTTGCACAACTTCAACACCTACCATCACAGAGCATTAGACGAAGTTCTAACTAATAGAATTAAGAAAATGTGATAAAACAAAATCACCAGCCCCAAAATAGTACACCAATTATACAAAAAGTCAAACAAATACCGAAACTTTTTCACGGTGCAAGGTGCACTTTTATTAAGTCTACTACAGGCTAATCGTGTAGTAGATAAACTATATAAAAGTGCAAGGTACAAACGTTTCGGTCTATTGATGTTATTCTATTTAGCTAATTACTACACTTTAGCCTGTGGTAAATAAAGTTTAGCCTGTTGATTTGTACTTCATTTTGGCGTTGTAGAAAATATAGGTTATTATTTCACTGATAAAATTATTATCGCAACAGTGTATGGACTCACTTGTATTTCCGAGTGATTTGGTGATTTCTATGGTTG